TGTGCTGTCACATGCTTCACCAAAAGAAAAGAAAGAGAAAGAATTTTAGCACAATTTGTTAAAGTAAAGAAGAAACCTTCTGCTCATATTAAGAAATATTGTACAAGCAAAGATGAGTAGTTAATTGTTGTGTAGATAGTATTGCCCTATATCTCTGTGTGGATCCTGATGGGGGAATGAGTAATGAGTTTAAACATGGTAGACATGCAGTGACACAACAGGCTTCGATACAAAGAAAGGAGAGGGAAAGATAAACGGCAAGAAGAACCTTTTTGCACCATGATCAAAGGGTCCTATCCGAAATTTATCAGAGGCCTCTTCTGCTTTGCTAGTAGTGGGCTATAAAATTATGCCACAAGCAAATCAATTCCATTTTCAAAGAAGAAAAATTGAGTCAGAAGGAAATTCTAACCAAATATGAAATTCTTAAGTAAATTAATTCCCTACAGTCGTCCCTCTCTTGAAGAAAAGAAATATTCGAGTAGGACAGACGAGAAACACTTTAACAATTTCAGACGTGACATTATGTATTTGCTGGCCAGGCTTTGCGAGCACATCATTGATCCGGCACTTCTAAAACAGTTGAATATTTCGTTACTAGCTTGTTCTAGCAAATTTATTTTTTTCAAATGGCTCAAAATATCAAATTTAGTTAACAATTATGGGTCGAGTTTGATCAAATTTTGACCAGTTATGTTGTTGAGAGTACAACTTCAAAACAAAATCTGATGCATTGCCGTCCTGGCCGAGCCCTCTAAAGGACTCCCGGAAATTCCAAAGTTGGAAGAACAAAGACAGCAAATTCCAACAAAGAAGATGCACCCAAAAGAAGAAACAAAATGATAAAGATAAAGGGTATAGGAATTCTTGGTTCGGGGAGTATATTATGCAAGCCCACAAGACGTACGTAAGTATTATTATTGTACAAAGTAGATGGGAATAATATTAGAAACCTCCTTTCTCATAATAATACTCAATTTTCCTGAAAATTTTAAAATCTCACTTATCTCTCCCATCAGCTTGAAAAGACTAAATATTCCTATCAAAGATAACAAATTGATAACATTATCTTTACTCTTAGTAACTATTTAACCAAAAGACTAGAACAAAATAAAAATTTTAAATTAAAAATATAGATTAAAAAATCTACTAATAGTTCATCTTTCTCTAATCAAATTTGTGGTGGGACAGTAAAGGATGTGGGTAAATTAAATTTAGTCAAAATCGACCATTTAGGAGGATTTTGATGAGCCATTAACACCTTAAAATTTTTCAAGGACAGTTATAAGGAAGTCAAGAAATTTTTTAAGGAAATATGTTTTAACACATGATGTAGTTTAAATTGTACTGAAAACTAAAATAATCTCTTCATATGTGTGGTTTGTAATATAAATCCTACTTAGAGAAAAAAATAACTTTATAAATAAGTTAGAATTAAAAAATAATCTGATGACCAAATATATATCTAAGATATCCCTTTTTTCTTTTTATTAAACATTATGCGTTATATTAGGTAATAGTTATTGTGCATCTATAAAATTACTTATTATTGCATTTATAATTGCTCATATTTTCATATTTTTACTTTTTAACCTTATTTTATTTTTTATTGTCATTGTAAACTTCATAAGTAATATAGCGTAAGGTAGTATTAGAACAAAAGTTTTATCTTTTTTGCATTTCCTCTAAAGGAACTAAAATGTTATAAGAAATGATAATCCAAGGGAGGTAGGTGAGATTTTAAAAAAAAAATCTAAAAGATGCTAAGTGATATAATGAGAAACATTAGAGGAAGTTTCTGAAATTATCCCAAATAGATGACTACAACACACGTTATACGTAGTAGGTTGCTGGCGGAGTCAAGAAGACAGCTAAACGCCGTACCAAGAAAAAATTAGTACTATTAACCTGCGGTAACGGATTTAACGTACACCTTGACTACGACGCGTTGTCTGGCCTTCAGTCCTGCGATTCGCAACAGTTGTGATTGGCGTCAGGAGATATGATGGACTCTTTTTGCTTTAGCTAGCTAGCCCAGCCATGGTCAAAGACTCAAAGCTAAGCATATTTTTCCCTACGAATATGTTCTGATTTCCCAGCCAGATTTAAGCTGCATCCTGCATCTGCATGGATGTACTTTAGACAGGTCCGAATATCACACGGACATTTTCTTTTCTGTGTTCTTTTGGGGTCAACTCGAAGCAAGAATAGAAATGGAAAAAGCTTTTAATTCTTCTTTGCCTGTTTTCTGGTAAGAAAACTTCAAGGCCTAAATTGGGAGTTTAGAACAGGAGGGAAAAGAAAGGAATGATAAAGTTGTGGCCGTTGTAGTCTAGAAGCATGTGGGATAGTCTTCACAAGGTTTGATGAAGTTTCAATGACAATAGAATAGTGTGTAGTAGCACTTTTTTTGTAGGTGAATTTTACATGAAGGAGTTTAAGTGAACGTACAAGATAAAGAGGTTCTTTTAATCTTTCTTTATTCTTCCTTAATATTTGATGAGTTCTGAACTATATAGTACACTAGCACTGCGGAGTAGTTTCCCCTTTTTTTTCCCCTTCTTCTTACCTTCTGAAGTTGTATACCATGGAGTAGTTTTGATGAATTTGAAGGAATATAAGGGTACGTAAGGACAGTCCGGCTTCAGTATCCCCAAAAACTATAGGCTGAAAAAGGCCAAACAAAAAAAATCACTCAAAGAAATCGCTCTGGATCCCACTCTTCACTCCCCACTGCTTTTTTTTTTTAATCATCATTTGTCTGCCCTAAATCTATTTTAAGGAGAAGGTCCAATTGAACCTATGAGATAATCGACGGGGACTGAATCAATATCGGATCAAACAGATGCACTACGCATCCATATAAATTTAAATCACCCAAATGATAAATCATATATTATGTTTGAACTCTCGATCTCCCATCCCATCAAGCGTGTACTCTCCACTGCTTGACTGTTCTTATCTCTTACCACTCTAAAACCAACGTGGCCAGCTGTATACCAAAATGGGTTGGCTAATTTGGTAAAATCAGTTAGTCGCAACTGACCATCATCATAACGAAGGAACAATTTGACCCTTTCTTTAAGCAGGAGGGATGTGTGTGTGCCACAGTGTTTTGTGTAGAGTAGACTTGATAAATCATTATTATTAGAGGTTTGTAAGACAGTAAAGACTAAAGAGTATGGATGACCATGAGGAGTACTGAGGACAGTGAAAGGGGTGCAAAGTTGGAATCCCTCATGGGTCTGAGTTGGCCATCCAAAAGGTCATCCCATTGTGCCCAAAACAACATAAAGAAATTAGATACTACTACAAATTAAGGCAACAATCAAGGCAAAACAGAAGGGGACATATCATACAAATTGAGTTGCGAATTGGGTAGGGATGCCGAGGGGTGTGCGTGTGGGATTGACAAATTGAGCTTGCAAGCTCATATGCAGGCAAGAAATGACGGTGAGGACGTGGGCTTTGTGTGGTGGTCTTGTGGGCGCTGCTGGCTGGCTGGCTGGCTCTGGAATGTGAAGGGAATAATACACAGGAGGGAGAGACACCTGTATAACATTCTCCATGCGATGCTGTAATTTTTTTTTTTTTTCGACGAAGTGGGTGTCCGGATCAATTCCGTAAAGGTGGCCCGACTAATCCCACTCCGGCCCGGCCCGACGCCCCAATCAGTCCTAGCACGTTAAATGCACGGCGAAACTGATGTTGCTGCGAAGGTTCGACCCCAGGACCTGACGGTCCCGAGGAGGAGGCGCCAACCACCAGCCCATTCACGTGGGGGCACGTGATGCTATGCGATGCTGTAATTGCCACCACCTTTTCTCGATAATTGATTGACATCTTCACTTCTCACGTGCATTCGTACCAAAACAAGAAGTGTCCTTCCAGTGAATAAGACCACAGTGCATCGGATACAATTGCTTTTCCTGTTAATTGGTTGCCTAGCCCGTCGATCTCAGATGGGATATAATAATATCTTTGCTTATTTGGTTGATTTGTTGCCTTAGAGACTTTTACTAGGATAAATTAGTAAACTACCGCTAACAGCATCATGGCAGCACAGCTTTCTTGAAAGGTTCAGTCAGAAGAATTAAAAACTGGAAATTCGATGTGTTCACTGCAACTAAAATTCAGCCCAGCCCTGCCCGCAGCACAATTTGCCTTCGGATACTCTCACTTCTGGATTTGGTGCGAAGTGAGAAATGCCATTCGAGGATCAATTTATGGTCTTGATTGCTCCAGCCTTTTTAAGTTTTGTCCGAACAAAACTGGCAAATCATGTAATGTAGGGATCATGACACAGATTTTTTGGACTCTGATATTAGCAACCTCATTCTAATTGTATTCAACGGCAGTGTTTGCACGGTTGACTAATGAACTTTACTAGGTTTCAACGGTCCCAAAATTTTTTAGTGGTAGCCATATCAAAATCAAATGCTTCCCCCCCCCCCCCCCCCTTTTTTTTTTTCAAATTGCAACCCAGCTATTGCTTCCTGTGCCACGACTAATAACTAAGGACAAATCTTAGTGCCACAACACACACACTTAATTAACACCATCAATCATGGCCGAACCAGCAAATACTGGATGGAGAAAGTCACCCACAAGGAGAATGACTCTTTCCAATTCACACGGAAACATTGGTTTTCATGACCTCCAAATTTTCAAAATCATAAATCGGAACCTAGACTGCAGAAAAAGAAAGAGAGGGTTGAAGAAATATGTCCACAATTTTACTTCTACAATAAAAAAAAATTAGAAACAAATACTCACCAAATCAATCAATTATATGCAGGTTGTTACCTCACGCAAGGATTCCAAACAGTCCTATAGGTAAAACGTAGAAATGCATTTTTTTTTTTGGGGAAGAATTTTCAGAAAAAGCTTGGACTAGTAACAGATAACTGACGATGAGAAGGCCGTACCTCAGGAGGCTACAATAAGATTTTCAATCGGTTACTAAAACGCATTCCGAGCAAACAGAAGACAGCAAGCAATTGACAAGAATTTATAGTTGCCATGAAAATTACCAAAATACCACAAACCTTCTATTAACTTCACTATAATAAAATGTCCAAAGGCAAACTAGAACCTATTCAGATATTGTCCAAAGCCATTTTTTTTTGTAAGATATTCCACATATCTCCCTTTAGGATTACACAGGTAAACTAAATATAGCAGGGAAAAAAAAAATCAAAATACTCCTCTGAGAGCAGATGCCACGTAAGGTGCCAAGTAGACAGTCAGTTTCCACGAGGTGCCATCCCATTGTGCAGTGACTGGCATCAATGAAGGAGGAGTACGACTCTTGCTACAGGTATATCATCCATAAGACATTTACAAGATGGTCTGATGACTACAAAATTCCAGAAGTAGGGGAAAAAAATTAACAACTCCACAGGCTAATCAACAGCATATACATCTTTATTTTCTATTCTTTCAAATCTGGAGCAAATATATAACTAAAAGAAAGAAAAATTTGTTTCCCCTTTAAAGAGCAATTTGACAATACATTGGATGGGGAAGTAATTTGTTAACCTGTAGAGTGTTGTTATACCCCATAAAATGGGAAAGAACAGATAATAGATTTGTTAACCCGTAGAGTGTTGTTATACCCCATAAAATGGGAAAGAACAGATAATAGATTTGTTAACCCGTAGAGTGTTGTTATTCCCGTTGCTTGGGAGTCTGAGTGTTTAGGGCATGGAAGTCTATGACACTCATGGAGCATTGCATCACAGGGATTCCTAAGTTCTTCAACCACAGTTAAGTATGTCAAGCATTATGACAGCTGGTATATCCAACACCTTTTCTTCCTTATTGGACTTGGTAACAACCATCTCCAAGAAACCAAAAACTGCACACACTCATTGCCAACTGAAGGGACAACCAACATTGGACTGGTTAATTGGATTCAAACCATTTCTTGAGGTGGGTTAGAAAGGAACAACAACATTGGAAGCGATGAAAGATTATAGGATAGAAAAGTAGGGCATTGTGGTTACAATGCACTAAACGTTGAGATTTTGCTAGTTACATGTTTGATATTGCTGAATAGAATCTATATATCTCATACAGAATGGGACCATCAGACTGTGGGCACATCAAATGAAGCCATAAAGCACAACTAGAAAATACCACAAGTACATAGCAAGCAGCCAGGGCATGTGGGATGTAGATGGTTTTCTAAAGAGCATCAAATGCTGCTTGGAGAAGCCTAGTCAGTGAAATGAAAAATGCAGAAATACTAGGATAGAGAAACTTTCAAGAAGTGACTAGCAAAATAGAGAAACTAAATACTTTTTTGAATCAAGAAGCCACCTAAAAAGCATAAACAATTACTCTTTGTTTCAACACTGACCTTATCTGAGACGAAAAACCACGGAAGCTAATTAATTTGTCCACTCGTTCAAGATAAACATTTACACTTTTCCTCGGTAATCCACTATTGCTAAATAAGAAGGTGAATCTAACTTGTCTCAACCAAATTAGCTATACCTTCCAAATGCACGCCTTTACATCTAATTAAATCTTGCATTAAAGATGTAACAACACAAGCTGAATAGACTGAAGACAGAATCCATGGAAAAAAAAAACTTTGGATTTGAACACATAATAGTTGATCCACAAGGGCAAAGGTCCAAACTGACACTGGTAAAAGAAACAAGGCGGAATGAAACCAAACAGCATACAATTTAAACCTTCAGACTTCAAAAGAAGGCAGATCCTATTTTCAGTCATCTGTAGCTTTGTAAAAGATATAGAAATGTAATACACGAAAAACAACCACTTCGCAAAAGAGAAAACTCACCAACATCTTAAACTTGAGAATTTGCATAACCCACATGTGTGTAAGAGAGCTGCATGATGAGCCCAGATAGGCCAAAATCAACAACAATGAAAATAATAATAAAATTGCTCGACCTATTGAAAGTACTACAGTAGAAAATAATCCACGCATATCGCTCACCTCGGCATTAGAGCCCATCTGAGTTCCAACTGTATTAGAAACTCCATCTCCACCCCTAGCAGGTACCCTGGTGTCACCCTAGCAATAGGTATTTTATCATCATTAACTGTTGAATAAAAGGGAAATAAGAAAAACAATTAATGAAAAAGCTATCAGCTAGTTAAGTACCTCTAACTGTAGCACCATGGTTGTACATGTATCAGCCAAGCCCAAAACAACCAGTCATTGAATTAAACAAAGTCAGTTGCTCATCAGTGACAAACAAAATACACCAAATTCTAAGACCAAAAGAAAGTAAATCCTGCAAAAGTACATTAAACAAGATATATAAAGTGAAATATTCGCCATTTATTTTCATTTATACAGCTAATGACACCATAGACAAGTCAAGAGCCATAAGTCTTTCGTTGCTCCAAAAACTTAAAGAGATAAACAAGAAACCAGACAAAGCAATCACAACTAGAAAAATAAAAGGAATTGCATACCTCCCTGTATCGAGCCAGATATGCTTTCAGTGGTTCTATGTAATCCTCAAACCCTAAAGTTGCCATTGCCCAAAGCAGATCATCACCATTTATGGTTTTCCTTTTCTCTTTCTGACACTTGTCACTTGCTCTGCGCAACAGAAGGTATGAGAAAGAAACAAAACAAGCAAACCAAACCTATATCAAAATGACTTTTCAGACACCACCAAAGCATTTTTTATTGTTCATTAAAAAGAAGCAATAGCATGCCAAAGTGAAGCTCATAAAATTACATCAATAGCAAACTGTGAGATCTAATTCTAACAGGTATATAATTTCAAGTAGTTACTGCATCAGTATACAAACACATTTGTTCATTCAGGTGAACTTGGGTTGTCAGATTTCTACATCTTCAGAAAGAAATGTAATCAGGACCCTGTTATACTACATGTTTCTACCTAAAATCTAAAAACAACAAACAAACGTCAAACCCTCACAAACTTCAGTGGCTCAAGTTAAATTTGCAGAACAAAATATTACAACTTTGTGCATGAAAAGGTTTTCCTACAAAAGTAACTGAGTTCAAAGGGGAAATCTTATATGCGTATGCAGTCTTAATTAATCACACACCATATCTTGATTCTTGAGTTCTTTTGAATTGTTTCCGCTCAGCCAAAATTAGATTCCATAAGCCAAAAACCAGTAACAGACAACAAAAATGGCAAAGATTCAAAATTTTCTAGTTTCTGAATTAACATCCTAAAAAATTTCTCAAATTAGAGAAGTTCTACAATACTACTGTAATAAACATTCTTCATTAATCAACTTAATAATCACAATCATGCAGACATAGTGATAACAGCAGTAAATATCACATATCTACTACAAATTTTAACAAACAAAATGAAAAATCATACTCGCTTGTGATGAAGCTGATGAATTCGGACACGCATTCCTGAACAGTATCCTTAGCATCCTTTGCAATCTTGCCGTTAGCAGGCAAGGCCTTCTTCATTATGCGTCCAATGTTGGCAATCGGGAGAAAACGGTCCTGCTCCCGAACGTTCGACTGAGGGCTCTGCTCGCCCCCGCTCTCAACGCCGCCACCACCAGGACTCACAGGAGGAGCTTCAGCCATCTCCACTAAAACCCTAGCCCTTGCCCTAAAACCAAAAAAAAATTCACCCCAAAAATTTCACACATTCACACAAAACGACAAAATGCCAGATCATTCAAGTCTTCGCCTTATTCATCATACATCAAAATGAACAGGAAAAAGATAAAGAACCTAATCCCTTTGATGATCGTCCACGTTGACTGTGTGTATTGTGTGTGAAGATTGAGAACGGCGACTGTGTGAAGAATCACTTACCAGGGGGTTGAAAGAGAGGTCGATGGGGTGGCGGGGGTTTGGGAGAAGTTCGTATTTGGCGCGAGAGATGGGGATTGGTTGATGGAGATGATGGTTTAGAGTTGATTTTGGTGAGAGGAAGGGAAGGGGTAATCGGACGATGGAGAAGAGGGGAGAGCTGAAACAGGAGCCTGCCTAAGCTGCTTCTGATTTCGAGATGGTGTGTTAAAAAAAAAAAAAAAGAAATGTACTACAAATGGGGGTCGTATTTATAGTAGTAGTAAAATGCAAGTAGGGAATTTATTCCTCTTTGTGCCTTTTTTTCTGATCATGGATGGAAAAAATTAAATTGGGGAAAACAAGCTTTGACCTGAATTTATTAGGCGGATAAGGATGTTAGAAGTTAATTTTGCTTTGAAATATTTCACTTTGAAGTGGGATATACATTATTGTTCTTCATCACCCTTAAAAAGAAAAAGGAAATGAAGTAATATATATTCGTGGAAGTAAATTAATGTTGGACATAAATATATTCATGGATGGAAATGAAGTAGTATCGAATTTGGATGAATTTCTTGCATTATATTTTTGTTACTTGGTAAATAGTAATGATATTTGAACTTAATTAAGCAGGAATCATGAAAAAAAAAGACGATTATAATTGTTGTTTGAATTGACTCTCCAGCTCATACACAATTCAAAAGATACATTCATACTATCTAACACAACAATAACTCTATACACATTCACTCACAAAAAAAAAAAAAAACTATTTATGGTATCTATTATATGTGGGTTTTACCACTTCAATTGGAAAACATAAAAAGCAGTTTGTGTAGAAAAGGAGCTATTTACCTCTCAATCTTTTAATAGAATATTGATAGCAAGTAGATCTTTTAATGGAAATTATTTAACCAAAAGATTTAAGTGGTTCACAGCACATTCACTACTAGATAATGAAAAATGATGCCTTGCCTAAATTGGGGATAGTTGGTAATGATGATGGTGATATGGCCAGTTTCACCAGCATTAGCCCTGTAGCAGAAAGTAGAAACTATAAAGAAACTGCGATGTAGAAAAGCCAGTTTTAGTGGCCTCAAGTATGAAGAAATCAGTTTCAGTAATGGTTTCCACAAGAAAATATGCAAAAGGAACAATACAGAAATGCTAAAATGTTTTAGAAACAACTCCAGATTAACCAATGAAAAATTGCACTAAAAGTAAAACTGGTACGAGTAGTATATTGACATTAACTGCATGTTTTTCAGTACGGTGGTGACCATAAATTTGTGTGATCGATCAACATTGTATATGCATGGATCTTTTGGACGTAGGGCAGCGGTGGTTGTATATGCATGTTTTCTGGACGTAGGGCAGATCAACTGTCCCTGAACAGTGTAATATTTTTTGAATGTTTTGTAATTTTATGTTAATTTCGTGTACATCCTTACAACAGAGGTGTGATATTTTGTTACTGTTCATGTGGATCTCATATGTAATAGTTGCGTTTCTGTTGTTAACTTTTACAAGTAATTCACTTACATCTTGTTCAAAAAATGTTACATTGTTCTGAATAGTTATTACTGACAACTGTCTAGGCCCGTATTCGGATATATTTGCCTTTTTTAATATTTTGTTCCATATAACAATCTTCGCGGGCCTTTAAATTTGATGTATAAACTTGTATCAAACTGGTTTATTACCACATTCTTCGAATTTGGAACAATCCATGTAAACGTGACACTTAAATTGAGTACTAGGGTCTTTAGGGTTTTGCAGTTCTCTTGATAAGATAATTGTATAGCAATTACATGCTAGAAGTACAATGGTGATTTTTGGTTACGACTCCTTTACAAAATTAGAAGTAGAGCGGCAGTGGACTGGTGATGGATGTCATTAAAAGTGCCGATCCCATTAACGTATTGCCAACACCTCACACTTAGACTCCATAGTTTTACCACCCAAGAAGAGTTCGTGACATCCTAAACTTCTAAATATACTATTAGCAAATTATGATTATCTGAAAAGTAAATTTGATGTCAGACCAACGATTGGATCATAAAAGAAGATTTCTTGACATAACAAATCACTTAATAAATGGAATTCGTATCACTAGAATAACTATAGTTACACAATAGGGTTTAGGTTCATGCGCGCCCACATTTGACCAATTTGTAGTGACTGCATATCATCAAAAGTTAGGTGTTTAAAATACTTAGAAAATTATAATAAAAAACTACTAATTATTTCCTGTGATTAAATTAGGCTAACCGCCTATTTTTCTAAAATAACTAAGACTCCTAAAATTAAATCCCGAGATGAAAACTCAAAATTTGTTTTTTTGGAGGGAAAGTTGATATTTTATTCATTAAAAATTTGGTCTTGAAACTATTTTTATTGAATCCAAATGGCGGTACTTCCTTATTTACATGTAATATCTTAAATATTACATGTAAATAAGTCCTGAATGCTAGTAATTTGAATTACCTATGGCTTGAACACAATTTATTCAAGCATAAAGGACCAATGTACAAATAACAAATAATTTCGCCACCTCCCTTCTAGTAGCGACACGTGTCAGACGCATGTTGCATAACTTGATACATTCATGTAGCAACACTTGACATATGTCATGTAAACTGATACGTGTCATGATCCTATGATAACACATGTCATTCAAGTCGACATGTGTCATGACCTTATAATATGTGTCGCAATTTCATCTCCTCTTAAGACGCTAGTTGGAGCATATATCAGGCCAAATATATCAGCAGTATACCTGGTTACTATACTGATATCCTATATTATAAAGGAATGTATTTGGTTTGATTTGTAGGGGACATTTTAAAGTAGAAGGTGTAAAGGAGGAGAATGATGCACATATAGAGGAGCCCCTTAACACCGGTGGTCTAACTGATTGGGAGGTATGAGGTGCAGTCACGCTTCATTGTTGCAGATTACACGGTTTATTCAGACCAACTGGAGGTTGAGCCTTTTCACAACTTTTCAGTTGCATAAAGTATGTGGGCAGTTGCACATTTAGCAGAATCTGGTAATGGTGAATTATTGCTCATAAAAGACTTCTTGATGTCTATTCTGGAATGTACTAGGAAAATGCTGCTGCAGATCTGATGTATCTTCAAACAAGTGACTTCACGGTTGAAGCTATCAACTTAAAGTCGTATAAGGATTGAAAGAGTTCAACTAGTTTGGGGGAGGACCAAGCATTGTCCATAGCCACCAATGGCTCACTATCTCGCAATCAGAAATATGGAATGGAAACCGAATCTATTTTGTAGCAGAGCAGAACAATTCGTGTTACTGGGAAAGTCGATATGTCAACCGGAATCTGGTCCATGGAGCATCCTACAAAATGCAACATAGGATGGTTCACACCAACACTGCACTCCTAGAGCCAGAATGAAACTTAAATTTTCAAAGAAAATGCCATTTTTAGTATTTTTGTAATGCATTGTAGCTACAAAGAGAAAAAGAATGCATAGAAGTTGAATTCATACTATTTTCTTGAGATATTGAGGCCATTGTCTTAGTTCGGTTTGCGTTTTCAGATGGCACAATACACAGAGTCTTAAAATTTTGAGACATTTGCTTCGTTCATCTATCTAATCTCTCCCTAAAATGACAAACAGGGAGAAAGCCAGACATGTACTAAGATCATGAGACCACCCTATTCATCAGTATTGCATAAAATCATAAGATGGTATAATATCCATAAATGGCATCTGAGTCGTACATGTCTGTCGAGAAGATCATAACACCACAGTATTCATCAGATTTGTCAAGCATTGAATCTCATAGTGGCCACCATCATATATGGTAATTCTGATACTCCATTCCCCTCTCACAGCTTACAGATGTATGCAGCCTTTTGATAACCCATTATAAACGCGTTCTTAGCTTTTAATATGTTGCCTCATCGTTGTTCCCTCGACCATGCAAGAGTATCAGTCTTTGCATAAAGCAACTGGGTATGCTTCAAATCCTGCTATTTCCATTACCTCCTTCTGTTCAAAGTCAACAAACAGTAAATGTGACTACCTAATCCATGAAAGTTGTAGTGGTTCTACAGGGTTCTAGTTTTAGGTTACTTGACAATTTCCTGATGTGCTAATGTTATTTGTCTTTTGTAAGTTTAAACAACTATTACCACTAGAACTTATTAACAAAAGAATAGCATCTCCACACAGTGGTAAAGTCTTGAATGAAGCATTGGAGTCCCTAAATAATTGTTTGCAGCAGCCTGCGATAGAACGTAATTAAAGGAACCTATTTTTAGCATGCATCTACAACTTGTAATGAGTTCACTACATCTTAAAAAGAGTATCCTCCATCAGTGTTCATAAGTATTGATGCAACTTTGTCATTGCATTGGCATAGTTGCAAAAAATATTTTTTTTTGCTCCATAACTCCACTGGCATGATTTTTCAAAAGCATTCCATTTTGATCTAACATTTTACATCAATTATGCATCAGGCTATTCCTTTACTTAATTATACTAGAGCATTTGGCCAGCAAAAGTTACCTGTATTATTGATGTTACCCTCCCGGGAGTGACCTGACATTCCAAAAAATATCAGACAGATAATCAGTTCTTACAGAAATTTAATTTCCTACTCTTCAGTATAAACAAAAGTTCACACACCTCAAATTGTTTCTCCTCCCATCTTATTTCCGTTGAAGTTTTTGATTCCATGGATTTCCATGAACTTGGGACTAGAATTGTCTCTACATGTTCTATAATTCTCAAGCTATCTGCAATACTACTCAAGTTAATACCCTATTTGCAAAACATGATTGACAAAATTTACCATTTGTCATGTAAGTAAATTAATTCACTAATAGATTGCATCCTATATCAGCTCATAAGATGGCAAAAGGTTAGAAGCTAATAATTTCTTTGCAGTAATGCCATTACCATAATATAGTTTCAACTGTTTGGCAAGTTAATCATGTGAGCAAAGAGCAGCTAATCGTGGAAGATAAGAGTGACATCAGAAAGAGTTAGTCTTATCATGAGATTTTCACAGAACAAATTTCTCCATTCCCCAAGCACATGCAAAGAAGATAAAAGAGGGAAAAAGAAACAAACAAGTACAAGATATAAGACATTCTTGAATAAAAGCAGCTCCACAGTTCTCATGCTAAGTTTGTGGATAGTTCAAGGCATAGGGAGTTGCATACAGGAATCAGAGTCCATCACCAAAGCAAAATACCCAACACAAGCAACTAGAAATTTTGCTAGCTGCAAGCTCATAACTGCAGGCTGTATAATAGGATCCAACCTGTTAACTCTAAAATAAAATCATAATATCAGGCAGACTCACTTGTAATGAATGCTTCTCTCCACATGTTATGCTGTGACCATGATGGCGCAACTTCTCTAAACGGGATCCCATTCCTCAAGCATATCCTGCAGAAAGTAAACTCACAAGACATTTATGCTGCACAAACTCAAGCCTACAAGACCCATGGTAGAGAAGAATGGCTAAACAGTTTTGGTTCTTATGTTCCAAGAATCTGAAGATTCTGGGACCTCGAAGACAAAAAAGATTTAGTTTGGACCGCTAAAAATCTTAAAAAAGTGTTTGACCACAGATTGTTACCATTAACTTATGATTATGCATGACCAGGTCAACTTTTCTGCACAAACAAGTCCACATTTTGTATGTGCATTATGTATCCCAGATTCAAAATCTCCACAAACATGCATAATGGTTAATTGGTAAGCAATTTTGTAGTTGGAAATAATGTTCCCTAGTGGCATGCAGCACCATATTGGTAAAGTAAAAGCATCCTTAAAAAGACAGAAATAATGTCTACAGCTGACATTTGAAATGATCCATAGATGACTTATTTTCTGCATAAGCACTTATAAATCTTTGAGAAAGAACATACTCAATTATTACTTGGCGTATAACTCCAGGAAGCACACCTTCACTAACAGCAGCTGTCTGTACTTCGACAGATCTTTCATAGTCGAAATCATTCTGCTCATAAATCTCTCCGCATTCATCCTGCAGACAGGTTTCACTAGTGGACTGAGTTGAAATATCATATGCCAGCACAAGACTTTCCGATAGTAAGAAAACAAACAGCTAGTTGAAACTGACTTTTGCAAGTCTGTGCTGACTGCAGCAAAGATTCTTCCACAAAGCATTGTTCATATAGAAAGTACCAAATTAGAGTTAATTAGTGCATTTACATTGGACTTTCTTGAAGGGATATAAGATGCTAGTTCCTGCAGTTCCCTTTTTTTGAGATGGTAAATGTATCATGCAAGTCCCAGGCTGGTAGAAAGGCATAACCTCTGAATGGTACTAAATACACTTTTTGGTTCAGTATGTCCAATTCCACCAAGCAAAGAGCTATAGGTTCTACCTTTATGTTGTCATAACAGTTTTCTAGAATAGGACTTTAGGAACCCTTTCATAATGTAACAGGTTCTATTGGATGAATCTTCGATGACTTAAAAGAGAAGGGGGTAAAAAACAAAGAGAATTTGTGAATAGTTGTAAATTGTCAAATTAACATAAACACATAGTTAAGCCAATAAAAAGGGACAATATGGATGAAAGGGTTCTGCACCTAAACTTCCCTTCCATTATCTTATCCAAGATATTTCTTATTACGCTATTGTTTCCAAATTCCAGCAACCAAACGTTGGCCTAACTCAAAAAATTCAGGCAAGAATGAAAATTTAGAATATGTAAAAACTGCACTGGTGGTTCATACAGATAGTAAAGACTTGAATGGAAATCATGTGACAATACTCATCAAATAGGTCTACAGAGTGAACTACAAAAATGTAACTACATATAACTTGATTAAACAATATCAGCACATTCTACAACTAGTCTAAATGTGGCCTCTCATGCTTGTGTGCTTACTTTTGAAACAAATTTCATAGTCTAAAATGAACAAAAGTTACACTAACATCAGTAAAATTTACAAAAAAGTTGATCCATGCAACCAACTTGAAACTTCAAAATTTCAACTACACACCTTGCCACAAACAACAAAGAAATTCGTTAGGCATCCTTCTAAGATGTGATCACCATTGTTTGACAATAGAAGCTCAGTAGTTGAAGGTGGCCTCAGCTTCTCCAAATCCTTCCTAAGCCTAGCTATAACAAAGTACAAAAAGAACCCCTCATGCACTAAAACATTAGCTTACATGCATTTTGCCATACTAATGTGATCCAAATGCAATAATGGACAATCAGAAAGAATCAATTCAAACATAATTACCTCACCCAATCCGAATACTTTGCATTAGCGATATCCCTACCGCGTCCCACCACAGCTAAACGCGCACCATTTCCTTGGATTCCAAAAACACGGGGAACATAGCCACCAAAATGCAAATAAACATCAAAGACTGCTTTCAGTCTTTCCTCATTGACGTCCTCAATCTCCCTTAAAGACTCCAAATTTCCACTCACTAGTGTCGTAATCGACATTTCCTCCCCACATTTCCTCTCTTTCAGCACAAAAGGCAAAGCTTTTCCCATCGAATCATTGACTAGAGCACGAATGACGAGATCCCATTTCAAAGATTTCTCTGACACTTTAACAAAAGGTACCATATCTTCTCCAGCTTTAAACAAAAGTTCGGGCCTGGAATTCAAGAGGACTTTAACAGAATTTGAGAGCCTGGATAAATGTCTTTGCCAAAACATGATTTCCGCCCCATTATTGTGAGTACGAGTTGTCGTATATGCACCTGAAATCAAACTAAATTTCTGTTATTTTAGCAGCTGCTTTTTCTTTGTCACCGATAATTCAAGAAAATTACTCTAGAAAGACTAATATCACAAACTAATACCGACGCTTTTCATTGATTCTTCCTACATTTCATTCCAATCAATAATCGAATACTAGTGGGTGTATGATACTCTTTTGAGGTGGGATTTAAGGGAGATGCAGGGTTTAAGAAATTATTACCGGGACACGATTGCAGTAAGGTTGCAACAGGGGGTGTGTCGGCCGGAGGAACTACGACGCCGTTCGTGAACAGAAACCTGCTGAAATTTGACATTTTGTACTTGCAGTAGCAGTAGTTTTCACTTTTCAGTGAGCAGCGGTGGCAAAATTTTCAGTCCAGCCGCCAGCTGCAAATGACACCCGTCCTTTTGAAGAGGAGTCCTTTGAGTTTCTACAATTGCACTTTTAGCACTGATTTCTTTCTGTTTTCTCTTTTCTTTCTGCGAGTTGAATTTTGTGGTAGTGGTCATGGTAAAGAATTCTCAGCCTGAAATCGTTACGTCAAATTATGAATTAACGAGCGTTAAGGGTTATGATTCAAAAATAAATTATTCTTTTTAAACTTCTTATTATTGGGAAAGATTTTTTTTTCTGTTGATTGCTTTTTCTATAAGATTATAATTAATTTTGTAGTTATATTACTAATAATTAGTTGTATTGGCAAACACATAATTATAATTTTGAAGAAAATTAGTTATACTGTGAAAAAAAAGGTGAGAAGTGGGAATTTTTTTACACTATATAAAGTGACACATTTTTAACATCAAAAAGTACTCATATATAGAGGGATATAATAATGACTGAAATTATGAAACACTATGTTCATATGTTTCATAATCTTGCGTTTTCTCTCCCTATTATTATCTGATCTTCCCACGGCCTTGCCTTTTCTCCAATCATTTTTTTTCCAAATTATAGGTTGCATAGGCATGTCGTGGATTTCTATTGTGTTTTCTAGCAATACTTATAGTCCAATATAATTTTCAAAAATAGAAGGATAAAAGAAATTGTGTTATATGAAAACTGAAACATGAGATACATTATATATATATAGGGTTGCTCCTCTCTTTTTAAAATTTAGAGGAGTAAATCTTGGCACCATTCTGCTTAGATGTCTTAATACTTCTCTTTTTGGAAAGAAGGAAAAAAAATTCTTCACTATTTTAGTGTAGGATCATAAAAATTTAAAGATTTTGAAAATAAATCATAAGCATGCATTTTTTTTTTTGACAAACAAAAGGATCTGACCCCACTTCAGGTCCCAACCCTTATTCGGATTATTGGGTTATTCCCCATTTTTGTGACAAGACTCGAATACTGGATCTCGGGTGTACTAACCCTTAGTGAGACCTGTTCGGCTGGCTTGGAAGAGCTTGATAACAGAATTTAATGAAAGTTTGTCCAATGAATGTCCTTCAGATGCTACGTGAATGAAACTCAAAGTGTTAAAGTTTTTCGAAGAAATGGAAATTATGTCAAAGAAAAAGTATACTAAAATGGAGAGGCAATAAAGTAAATGCACGCATTATATATTAAAAAGACAAGTGTTTTTGCTAATGACCCCCTAAAACTAAAAATGGTGGTTAGAAAAATTCTATAAATGATTCAACCAAAAATGTGGCCAAAAAAGGCAGGTCATTTAAATGCTTTTGAAAAAATAAATTGGGCAAATGTCAAATCTATACCAAGATTTTGGGCTAAAAAATGTCTTAACTTGAATAAATTTGTAAAAGATTTGGAGCAACTAAGACGCCGGACAAGATAATTCATGTTTATCCTCATCACTCAAGTCCACCGACTACTGTAGCATGCAGTCTTAAATCCAAAGATACTTCAACCCTTAAAATGTTCCAAAAACTAAAACCAATAGACGAAATATACTTCAACAGAAATATACAAATCCCTTATTACAACAGTAACACAACTGTAATTGCAGTTTGGATTGATTAATCCCCTCCCTCCTCAGGCGTCGTTCATCATCTAGGTAATGCAACATTTCTTGGAGGGGACTTCTGCTTCCTTACATACTTCCTAGCCCAGACATGCTTCCCATTGATGGTGTACTTGGCTCTTCCGCCTTCCACCACCGCATCAAGGGCTGAGGCTGACCTTGCAACAATTCGGGCGTACAATATTTGCTCATTTGGTGGAACTTCTTGCGTCTGAATGGCTTCGATGAAATCTCCAAATTTCCTGTCAACAGATGAAACATTTGACAATGGAAAAGATCTTTGACACACACACACACACACAACTATATTTTTGAACACGTTTGCACAATGCAATGCAACTAAAATATTTCACGCTCTCGGGCAAATTAGTCAATGATAATGCCCCCAAAACATGTAATCAAATGCAACAAAAGACAAATTGAATGATCCAAAAATCAAATAAAAGTAGGAGAGACAATGGAAGTAATAACAGATGATTAGAGATACCTAATGAAGAACTCCCTAACTTCAGTTTCTGATATAGGGTAACCCTTGGAGAAAGTTAAGAAGATTGTCCTCTCATCGGGGGAGACTACATCATTCTCCTCCACCAAAGCATTCAGGCTAGTGTTCAACCTGTGACACAGTTCATTTTCCACAATCTGATCTTCTGTTAACTGTACTGATCCAATGGGCCGCATACGATTATATAAAGGAAGCCAGTATGGATAAGCAGCAGCAGCATCAACATTAGCAGGTGGGGTTTGAACCACATTCACCATCACCCCGTTCCCCATAAAATTTGAACTATTTCCAACATGATAAAAAGATGAACTTTGGCCAACTTTATCCACCGATGGCAGATTGGGGTTTCTAACACCACCATGGCTTCGCGAGAGCATCGTTCCAACTTGACCAAAAGACGAAGAAGTTTCGCCAACTTTCTCCACCAATGGGGTGTTGGGGTTTACACCACCATGGCTTCGCGAGATTGTCCCAACTTCACCAAAAGATGAAGAAGTTTCGTTAGATCCTTTTAGGACCGCGGGGACAAAAAACCCGGTTCCACGGGTGTTTTTGTCGAGCAAGTCGTAAAATGCCCTGGAACAAACTTCCCCGATCATTTTCGACACCCCACGAAGAACCCCAATTCGATTCTCGTAGAAGTATTGAAAGCTGATGTTTCTCTCCACAAAACTAGGGAGCAACACGAGTTCATGTGGGTCTTTTTCTCCAAAAGGGAAAGAATCACTTTCCACACATTTGAGACACCACACATTTTATGTTTCTCGTAAAAATGTTGCTGGCAAGGACAACATTTGGTTCACCAAGGTCAAGTTGTCCACGACTTCTTGTTCTAGCCATAGCCAAAACGCCATGAGTTGCACGGACTCGGATGGTTCTCGACCCAGGTTAGTCATCAAGCGAATGAACAACTTGCGGTCGATGGAATGGAAGGAGTTGAATTCTTCATCATTTACTGAAGAGGAAGCTGTGGTGTAAAGGAGAGGAAGAAAGGATACCTGTTAGGACCGGACCAGGAAATAGACAAACTCAAGTTAGTACAAAGTAGGCGGTATGACCGACCATATAATAGATAGGCGGTAGATACCAGCCATATAATAATTAGGCGGTAAAACCGACCATATAAAGACAGATAGCAAAGCAAATAAAAGACACAGAAGATTTACGTGGTTCGGTCAAATTGACCTACGTCCACGGGCGAGGGAGGAGCAATATTTCTACTATGAAGAAGAAATACAAAAGCCGTAGGAAAGTGGTTCCTAGGCCAATAGGCACTTACAAAAGAGTTTAGAAAATATTTCTAAACTCAAAATAAGAGAGCCTAAAATATTTGACTGAATGGGCTAAATGACTTAAGAAGCTAATAGCCCATATAACTCTCTTAAGTGGTGCACTTAAACTTCTCAAAGGCCTTCTCTATTTATAGGAAACAATGAAGGCTATTCCCTCAGCTTCTGGCGATGTGGGATTACAAAATTCTGCCACAGTCAAGAATCAAGAATTGCGGCTGCAGCAAGAAGTCAAGAGTTGCTGCTGTGGCTTGACTTTAACAAATCTCCACCTTGGCATAATTTTGAGTACCACTATCGACAATAGTAAAATTGCTCCACCTTCTCCACATAAGCCCCAATGGGCATAAATCACCAACAATGAATACCAATCAAGTTCAAGCACTGTTTGAACTTGTAAATTGGAAGAGGTTTCGTAAACATATCGGCTGGATTGTCCTTAGTATTGATTTTCTGAACAAGGACTTTTCCCTCAGCAATGATATCCCGAATGAAGTGATACTTCACATCAATGTGTTTCGTCCTCTCATGATACATCTGATCTTTAGTCAAGTGTATGGCACTTTGACTATCACAGTGAATATCAGTAACACCTTGATATAGACTTAGCTCGCTAAATAAACTCTTCAACCACAAGGCTTCTTTGATTGCCTCGGTCACAGCCATATATTCTGCTTCTGTAGTAGACAAAGCTACGACAGGTTGTAGAGTAGCTTTCCAACTAACAGCACAACCGCCAATGCAAAATACATAGCCTGAAAGTGATCTTCTCCTGTCAAGATCTCCAGCGTAGTCTGAGTCTACAAAACCAACCAAAGTGTTATTATTTCTTCCAAACTCCAAACATGCATTTGAAGTACCTCGCAAGTATCTGAGAATCCACTTCACAGCCTGCCAATGTGTTTTACCAGGGCAAGACATATATCTGCTAACAACACTGACTGCTTGTGCAATATCTGGACGAGTACAAACCATTGCATACATAATACTGCCGACTGCACTGGAATAAGGAACCCGTGCCATATAATCTTCCTCTTCATCTGATTTTGGTGATTGAGCAGCAGATAGCCGAAAATGGCTAGCAAGAGGAGTAGATACTGGTTTAGCACCTTTCATGCCAAAACGCTCCAAAACTTTCTCAAGATAATTTTTCTGGGTCAAGAACAACTTCCCTACTCCTCGATCTCTTTTGATATCCATGCCAAGAATTTTCTTAGCTGCTCCCAAATCTTTCATTTCAAATTCACTATTTAACTGCAGTTTCAAAGTGTGAATTTCTGACAAATTCTTGGCAGCAATGAGCATGTCATCAACATAAAGCAGCAAATAAATGAAAGAACCATCATTTAACTTCCGGAAGTAAACACAACTATCATACATGCTCCTCAAATAACCATGACCCAACATAAAGGAATCAAACCTTTTATACCATTGTCTTGGAGACTGCTTCAATCCATATAAGGATTTCTTCAATAAGCAAACATGGTCTTCCTTACCTTCAATTTCAAAATCCTGGGGTTGTCTCATATAAATTTGTTCTTCAAGTTCGCCATGTAAGAAAGCTGTCTTAACGTCGAGCTGTTCTAACTCCAAATTATACATGGCTACTAAAGCAAGCAAAACACGAATAGAGCTATGTTTAACAACAGGTGAGAATATATCATTAAAATCAAC